TCCCAATCCAAAAGTTATAAGTGATTAAATGGATGGTTGGTATTTTTAAAAGTTTTTGATTCAAATACAACATCTGTAAAAATATTTAAATATTAATTATTAAATATAATTTAATCTTTTAAATAGATATTATCTTGTAATTATTATAGATTAATAAAAAAAATATTAAGATAAAATACACAAATAATTTCGAATATTAAATACTTTACCCTAATATTAAATACTTTCTGTTCATGCTTCGTAAAGTTTCATTTAAAAGTTCAATTATTGCACTAATAAGGAATAGAAACAGTGTCGTTGAATCTGAACTTGAATAATGATTATGTGCACCAACGATTGAAATTTACTGCAATGTAAAAAAAGGGCGTAAAGTGCTATTTTTTTAATAATATATCTAATCATTTATATATTTTTAAATTAAAAATAACTGTATTTAAATATATTTAACTTAACATATTTTAAAATATACTAATTAAACTAAAATATAGTGGACAAGTGAAGTGCTAATGTTCATTATTATGACATTTCATATTAGTGATATGGTCAGTGTTTTGAAAATCGGATCGGATCGGTCGGTTTAACCGAGAATCGTTGTCTGGTCCGATCCATTTTATCCCGATTCGAATTGGTTTTGAATTGTTCGAACCGGATCGGACCGTGAACCAGCTCAACATAATTTTTTTTAAATTTTTTATTAAATGCTTTTTATTTTTTATTAAATGTTTTTTTATATTTTTATTTAATTTTTTAAATAATTATGATGTCATTCGATTCTTACGATCGGTCTAACCGATTCGACGGGTTGAATCAGTAAACCGATAGCACAGCCGATTCGCTGATCAGTCCGATTCTGAAAACCATGGATACGGTAGAATTTTAAGAACAATATTAAACATTTGTTTTGTCACGTCAAACAAAACTTTTCAAGCAATACGGTGGAATTCTTTTTTATAGGATATGGTGGAATTTTATAAAGTGGAGATAAGGTTAATGTAATAATAAATTGATGGAAAAGTGTGAACAAAAAACTAAAGAAAACGAAATAAAGTGTAGAAAATTAAATTTAATATATATGATAATAGAAATAGAGACGCTTCTGCAGGGTTACAAGTTTACAGTTATGCTATGTTAGGTAGTAGGTTATTCATCAAATATATGTGCCTCCAAAATTAAAGTGTGATACATCGTTGATGTAATTAAATATTTTTAATAGGGCAAATAACGATGTTTATGATTTAAATATTAAATATAAAAATATTTTAGTAGGTTATTTCGACGAGCATGGTGCATTATTTTTTTCTATTAGGTGTAGAGAGGATTTTTTAATGAAGTCCATGTCTCTCGTCCTGTTTTGTATGAACTGCCATATTAATCATACAAAACGATTCCTTTAAAAAAAATAGTGTAAAATAATATGCCATTCTTAATATGATATACTATATCATATATCATTGAATTTTAGATGGTGTGTCATTTATAGAATTAAACTTTTAATTTTTTTAATTATAGCACGAAACTTTAGTTTTGACTTCAATTATATTACTGACTCGTTAAGATTCAAACGGTGTGATGACATGGACAAAATAACATCGTTTTGGTATGACTATTGATGCCTAAAGCGAAGTCATTTTAGGAATTGAACTTTTAAACAATTCACTTTTTGACAATGTAACTTTTTTTCCGTCGCAAGCAGCCAATCACTGCATACCATTGGTCATCTTTCATGACAAGATAAATACTAAAACGTTCGATCAACGACGGAAACTGCTTGTTAAAGGGTCATATTGAGTTTTTTCTAAGGTGATTACAAATAATATTTGTTAAAATAATTTTCTTTTATTTATCTAAGCTGATTACAAATAATATTTTTTCTAAAGATCCCTGTAACATCCTCAATATCGGGTTAGTGACTAAATTGTAAAACTTCATAATTTGGTGATTAAAGTGGAATAGTTGAATAGTTCAATGATTCATCTGGAAACAGTTTATGAATTATTAGTAATTATTAAATGAAGTGAAGGGCAAAACGATCATTTGACTTAGAAATTAATTGAAAATGGGATATGATAAGGATATAAGGATAAGATTAAGGAGATATATCTCCAAAAAGTTATTTCTTCTTCCTCTTCTTTGTGCAACCGTGAACCCCTAAGGCAAAGTGGGTTTCTTGTTAGTTGATTATTTGTTAATTTTAAGTATGGGTTTTGTTCCTTAGGTAACACTTAAACTTAAGGAAAGCTTAAGTTGCCTTAAAATTAAAGAATTTATGAAAGATTAAAGAGATGGAGTTTTTAAGTGAATTTATGGAAAAAAGTTAATATAGGAATTTTGAGATGGAATTTGACTTGTCATCAACTTAATTAAGAGATATGAAGTGATAGAATTGAATTTAGAATATATTGAAAATTGGGTATGATTATTGATTTCTATTTGGAGAATAGGATTTTGAAGTTTGAGATGTGATAAATGAGTATAAACTGGTTTAAGCATATGTATGTGAGTAAAGAACATGAAAGGGGATGAAACATGAAGAATTTCAGCTAAGAAAAGTGAATTTTCGGGCTTAAAATACAAATTCTGGGCAAGGTGCATTGGTACACATTCAATCTGTACCGATACACTCTTAAATGAAGAAACATCGAATGCAATAAGTGTACCGATACACCAGTGAAGGGATGTATCGATACACTATAGTGTGTATCGATACACTTCAAAGGGAAAATGGAAATATATCTTTTCCTTTAGTTTAGAAAATGGAAGATTAGTATATCAATTAGAATATTGATATGGATCTATGTATTGTTATGTAGATATAGAACGTAATCATGTTCCAAAACAATTGAAGAATTAGGATCGAATCAAAGCAAGCAAGGCTAAGGTGAGTGCGATTTAATTGTACTTATGTTATCGAACAAACATTGGCTTGTGATGAGCCAGTGACGGAGTTACTATGGTAATAAGTGACTCCTAAAATGTTATTTGATTTGTGAAGCATGCATAACGTTATACATGAATGTTTGAATACATGATTTCATAAGTGATTATAGAAACATGTAATATAAGATAAGTGAATTCAATATAAGTGAATACATGGAAATAATATATAATTAATGTGATATAAGTGATTATGTAAAACTGTGAGATAAGTTATATAGCATTGATATACAGACTAAATGAATGTACAAGAATATATGTATAAGTTTATATGTTATTCTATGTGCTATGTGATGTATATATGAACATATGTGAACAAGATCATACGTGTTTACATGAACACATGAGAAATGATATAAGCTATATGATGCGATCTGTATGATTACATGCACATGTGATATATGTCACATGATATGAACCTATGTGATATGGGTTATATGACAAGAATGATATACAAGTTACATGAGAACGAGATATGAGATTACATGTTTATATGATACAAGTGATGTGAACTGTTATAAATGATAATGCCCATGTTATGTGGTATGAGAGCTAGGGGTATAGTTGACATGCCAAGAGTCGAGGGTCTACGCGGTCCTTCGAGACATATACAGAGGTCCTTCGGGATAAATACATAGGTCATTTGGGATAAATTTCACATGCCCCTAGTAGGACCCTATATGAGCTGTGGTGAGAGCATAAGTGCACAACTTCAATGTACTCGAATACCTTGAGTTCTCAGTAATGTACATGGGCTAATAAAGAGATAATAACAAATACAATATATGTTATGTATATGTTTTGGTGATATGAAATGTTTCACAAGAATTATATGATGTTATATGTGTTATATGATACACAAAAATGATAAGTATAAGATCATATGATAAATGGGTTAATGATAATGATAGAAATCATGATAATGATATTATATGTACATGTATGCATTCTGTTATATGAATTGTTTTATAATTTCTATTATGGGTTTTATATGACTCACTAAGTCAACGACTTAGCGTGTGATTGTTTCACACGTAGGTTCCGAAAAGAGGAAGATTGATAAAAGTTATGCAAGACATGTCAGTTTCTCCTTTCTAAATATCAGATCAGAAAAGAATTGAATAGTTTGTATTTTGTAATACTAATTGTGGTTGGCATGTAAATAAAGATTTGAATATGATATGCTCTAATCGGTTTTTTAAAAATCATAAGATTGAGTTTTGTAATGTTTTAAACATATTTATGTAAATGGTAACTTTATAGTGATGAAATGTTAAGTTTTTATGAGTGTTATACATGTTTTGCTGAAAGTACTGTAGCAGTGCATCGGTACACTGTAGCAGTGCATCGATACACATTTTAAATTTGATGTTTTTGTGCATCGGTACATTGTTCATGGTACTGTAGTAGTGCATCGATACACTGTTCACGATATTGTTCATTACTGTTCACGGTACTATTTAAATGGTATTGGTACTATTCATACATTACAATACTATTCATAAAAACATCTTTTGCCTTAAATTTGTTATAATGAAACATAATTCAACAGTATACTATAGTATTTTCTTAATATAAGCCCAAATGTTCTATTATTTTGTAAGAATATTGTTTCAAAAAGATAATGTGAAATCTCGGACTCGTATTCGGGTCGGGTACGGGTTGAGGGTGTTACAATCATCCATTTGACAATGAAAGCTCAAATACCTTCGTAGTATTTGATACTCGAATTGAGAACTCTAAAGATAATAATCATCTCTTTCACGAATGATTTTTTTTGAAAGAAATCACTAATTTTATTCAAAATAAGAAATATTCTAAATTACAATAAAGATTTACAATCATAATTGTAAGTTAAGATCACATAATTAGGATAATTTTCTATAATCAATTAAACAAAACCAACACATAATTAAAATAATTAGGAAATGTCCTGAATTAGTTTAATTCATAAATTTGAATATATTTAAACATACATACATAATCAATCGATTTAATTTTTCTCATATAATTGAAAAGAATATAAATGTAGTGATATTGAAATAATAATATCCAATAAATTACACTATTTTTTTTGGACAAAATATCTGTGAAATTCCTAGGATTAATAAAATCAAAGTCACAGGATTTACAAGACATAGTTAATACTATGATTAAGCTTTTTTACTCTTTCCACTTGAGATGATTCGGTAAAAACAATCCCTCTTTGCCATCTCCATATATAAAAACCCTTAAAATTACCCGCTAATCACTCAAATAAAATAATACTAACTGATTCCTATTAGCGCTTCCAATTCAGGTAACACAGTTGTCCACCAACTCACCAAGGATGATTAGCTGTGTTTTATTGCGCTTGCTTTAGCTATTAGTATACTGATTTATCGGCAACCGCATGAAGCAACGGTCGGGTTTCGCTGAAAAAACCGACTTTGTTCTTCATGCCTACGTGGCAGCATCTCTGGAGAACCTCGAATTTGGAGAAACGGCCCGATGTTGACGATGAGTCGGATCGGGATACGACTCGGAGAATCTCCTCGAAGAACGACTCGTCGCATGGGATCGTCAACGGTCCATCGTTGCTGAAACCGTACGCCTCTTCGGTTTGTACGAGGAGGTTCCTGAACATGGGGTGGTTAAGGTACGTCGCGCGTACGATAAATCTCCTCATGCTGATGCCCACTATGACCGCCACGTGTCCAGAAGGAACATCGGACGGCGCGTGTTCGTTATTACCGTTGTTTCTGTTAGCCGTTATCCGGGCACTCCTTCGCCACTGCTTGAGCATTTGTCGGATCCTGACGATCTGACGAATTTTCTGGCACTTTCCGCGATACATTTTTTTCTCAAGAAAGTGAGAGAAAATGAAGCAAGAGAAAAGAGAATATTTTCCGAAAAAAGAGTGAACTATAGTCGAATTTTTTTCCTTAACTTTTGAGTTTAGGATGAAGGTATTAACTATTATAAGGTCGAGGATTAGTGGAAAAACCCTTGGAATTGGATATAATTACGAGATTGTGTCTGTTGTTTCCATAGGTGTCAATGTCATAGCCATGTGATACTATAGTAAGGTAATGAGATTTTAGCTAACTTTAATCAATTATGTATTATATTCATTAAAATATTGTTTCTTTGGATTTAATTTTAATTTTCAAAATTAGTTAGTTTATTGAAAAGTGTGCGTTACAAGTAAGATTATAATAAAATCACATTAAAACCAAAAATACAATTTAGACCCTAAAATTAAAGTGTGGACCATGGCAATATAGCAATGTGCTTTTTAAGTAAAAGAATTTTAATTTTTTATAGTGAAATTAAGTGTTACCGTAACAATGAATTCGATGGATAAAATCAATGAGGTATATTAAAAAAGTACGCTATTTTTCGATTAATTTTAATTAATACATTACTTTTTCAAATTTAATAATAATTACAGGCATCAATCAAACAGATTCTTTCAATGAATCAAAGAATGCACGTCGTGATCATACACAATAATTTTCATTTCAGCAATTAATAACTTTATTCGGTATTTAATTATGGCGTGGATTTATAAGATATATGCACTAATATATATATATGGAAGGTTGAAATTATTGAGTAGTCTTAATAGTTGAAAAGAATATTATTTTTTATAATTATTAGATTTGAATTTGAGTAATTATGTATATAAAGTGTACTCGTATTATCAATATCTATAAAAGATTATGAACAACATCATATGTAATTACCTGAAGTTATTCATATATATATATATATATATATATATAGAGAGAGAGAGAGAGAGAGAGAGAGAGAGGGAGAGGGGGAGGGAGGGAGGGAGGGTTATCCTAACCAAAATATAGGATTAATAAATGAGTGAAAATTGATAATTGAGATTAAATTAATAAAAAATTAAATTTACGGAAAACTATAAGTTTAATATCTATACTATTACTTTTGTTCCGTTTTAATACTTAAACTTTATTTTTTTTTAAATTTATGTTTCAATTTGGTACTCTGTCGTTAAAAACTTAACAAAATCGATGTTGTGGAATCTACATTACAAGACGTGTGGAATATCGAAAAAGGGAAAATAATTTCATGTCATTATTGTCGCTAAGTTTTTAACGGCTGTGTACGAAATTAAAACATAAACTAAACGTTAGGAATGATTTTAAAAAAATAAAGTTTGAATACTAAACAAAAAAAATAATAATTTAGGTACTAAATGTGTAATTTACTCTTAAATTTATCATTTTATTTAGATAAGTTGTTCATATTTTGATTATCTTTAGTTAAACTTTTTATTTTTTTTATTTGCATCTAATTTATAGCCTTTTAACTTTCTACTTATATACGATATTTAGACAGTTAGTTTTATTAAATAAAGCATAAATATTTTAAAAATTACGAGAAATATACGTAAAAGTAGGTGTAAACTAATCACATAAATCAGACAAAAATAAAGATAAAAAATACCAACATTAACATAAAATGCATATAATAAAAATGACTCATTGACAAACTTACATTACTTATCTTTGGTGATTCTGAACGTATATTAACAGTTAGCCAAAGGATTCAAAACAATGATAGATCTACAAGATAACCAAATAAATGTTATATGAATCTAGAGATACAACTTCAAATTCAACCTTAAGAAAAAGAAAATACATGTTATACGAGCATAGGGATGAACCTAAGGGGGCGAATGGGGGCAGTCGCCACCTAAAAGTTTCAAATTTTTATATATTTTAAATATTTTCTTTGTATTTTCTATTGAAAATATATTCTAGCCAACATAAAATTTTATAAGTTATTTCCTACTTAAAATTTTATTAGTTTGCCTCTCCTAACATAAAATTCTGCGTCCGTCTCTGTATGAGTAACATGAGCAGAACTTTACGGGGTCAAGAGGAGCCTTGGCCCCAATATTGAAAAAAATATTTTTTTTGAAAAATAAATAAAGGAAAATTTATCCGTGTCCCCTCAATTAAAAAAATTGTATTTATGAAATATGAAAAATACTTTAATCCATACCTTAATAAATTATTAGTTCCGTCCATGATGAGCAAAAGAATTATATAACTCATATTAAAAGAGAGAAAAGAAAGAAAAGAAAAAGTTAACCGTCTATGATCAGCTCGAGACTGATACCTCGTCAAAGGTAAAAAAATATAAAAGAAAATTAATATAAACCCATTTTTTAATCTAAAATCAAATCATAGTTAAATGCAAATAAAAATATTATGAAAACAAAGACTCACTACAACATAATCAGAAAACTTATTTAAAAAAGTGTGATGATTTAAGATTTGTTTAATGTTCCAACCCTAGTTATGCTTATTCCCTTGTTGCCATTTTGATGATAGTAATAATGATATAATATATATGATTAGATTAGATTCCGTTTGTCTTTGAAATATGCAAAACCCTAATATCATTTCAAAATCCTAAAATACTCATTCACTAACCTCCGCTCCTGCATGCCTTGCCTCCACAACATCCTAATATATATATATATATATATATATATATATCACCATTATACATACATATATTCCAAACAAGGCACAACATGCAAGTACATGCAAAGCCAACTTTTATCATTGTTCATCTTCAGTGTTCTACAGGAATGCATCGAGGGATATTAATTGCAATTACACTTTTAAAAATTTTAAATTCTCGTATAATTTAAGTGTTTTCTATTGATAATCTAATTTCACACCCCCTAAATTTATAATACAAAATCATATATTTATATCTCTTACTATAAAATTTTGCTTCCGTACCTAGTGCATATTAGATATATATATATTATAGTGATGAGGGCTTGTTCTCTACTCTGCCATGATCTCTTGTCCCCCTCAGTATCTTTTGGTTTAAGGCAGTAAACCCCTTACTAAAATAATAGATAATGCAAGATTTAGGGAATATATGCTGGGGCCTGTTTTGTTTCTAACTGATTGAATGCGTTAATTTTGGATCTATTCCTTTATACATAGTTTAGAGACATTAGTAATTATCATTAAATCTTGTTCAAATATCAAGTCATTTGGCACGGATCAGAAGAAGAGTTGCTGTAGGGTGTGGCCAAGGCAACCTATATTAAACTTAAACCTCTTCAGGTTGTTTTTGGAACACATTTAAACAAAAACCTGAAACCAAAGATTACGAGGTTAACAACAAGGTCAGTTTTGCAGATTTTGTCATGTTTCATCCAATAGCAAGAGAGATTATATATATACTATTAGATTTTAAGAATGGTTTTATCATTGAATAAATTAACAATAGCCCACTTGCCGTTGAAAATAAGCAAATTTGGGAGCGATTAAGTAAAGCTAAACCTCCGTTGCTTTGAATAAAGAGAGCGTATAAAGACTTGGTCAAAACCACTTTTTTCAATCTCAATCATTTTACATTATAACACTCAAGTATATATTAAATTATGTCACACCAACGATATGGATAAAATAAATAATTTATATTAAAAATTTATTTTCAAATTTTATTAGCTTAATGTTCAAATAAGGATTTTTTAAAAAAGTTTGCTCAAAATAGGGTTTAGTTTTTCTTATCTATTCAAATAAAGGACTAACCATACAAAAGGGTTAAATAAGAGCTTAATAATTTCAAATATACCCAAATAGGGGTCTATCATTTTTAAATATTTTCAAAAAAGGACCTCGTTTGAACGGATTAGAAAACATTATATCCTTAGAAAGAAGTAGAGATCATGATCAAATCATTAACAACTCTCAAAAACTGAAATTGCATAATTAAATTAAGGAGAAGAAGAATGAGAAAGAAAAATAAGATACATAAACACAAGATGAATTTGAAGTAGGGTGAAGAAGAAAAATGTAAAAGAAGAAAATGAATCTGAATTTTGTTAGTCTCTTACCAATTCTTATAGTTTTTTGTTCAACTTCAAGAAATTCAAAAGTTAAAAAGGAGGATAAATGTTAGACAATTGTCTTATTGAACCGTTGAATTTAGCTGAACCTTAGCTGTTAGGTTGGTAGATTTGTTATACGTTTGCCACATATTTATAATGGGCTAAGCATGGTCTGTGACCCATTATTTTGTAATTGATTTCTTAATTCAAATTTAGATTTCGTTTATAATTCTCTTAACCCTAGTTTCTAAGAAGCTAAATCCTACAACCACCTCACTTGTTCATCATCACCTCTGTTTTGGTCACTGTCCGACCACTGCTGACCCCCTCTTCGCACAGTCGAATACTAAGAAGCTTCAACTGAATGGTCAGTCTCCTCAACGAGGCCACCAAGCAGATGATTGTACAGAAAATGATCAACGTGAAGCTGTTCTAGACTCAAATTTATTCACTTGCGTTACTTCTCAAGTGGCGTTAACGTTGATCGTGCTTTCTCAACTGTTTATTTCAAAGGTTTTTCATTTCTTTTGAGCTTTGCAATCTTAATATTTACCTTGGCAATGCTGGATTCTGTTGCAGTCTCATCATCTCTAGAAATGACTTTACCATTGGTGGCACTCTACTCCTACTAAACATTCAATGACTGAAACAGCTGAATGATCAAATATTTAATTCAATATAAAAAATTCAAACCACGGCCACCTTATGCAGAATTGAGCACTATAACTATTAATTACAACTAAAGTGAAGCCCCCACTTCATTCGGAATTTTTAAAAATATTTTAATTGATTAAATAATTATTAATAATAAAATATATTTAAATTAAAAATTATTAAAGTTAATTTTGATCTGTTTAAATCCAAGTTCAAGTGAGACCTAATGCTGCAGAAAGACTGCTTATAACACATTTTGGGAGCCAAAAGGTGACGGCATTATTACAATGAACTGATAAGCACATAATCATCCAACATGTTGCCCATTAACAAAATCACCAAACATCCATGGTGTCATCGCGGACCATAAAATTAATACTTCAAGGGCCATGTTCATAATGCGCAAAAAAATATTGGAAGATAAGAATGTCACGGTCTATAAAAACTTTATAAGCTGAAATGAAAAACTGGTACATTACCATTGATATGCTTTATTCCTACACCAAGCTCAATTCACTCATGCAAACCAGCTACAAACAGGATTCCCCCTGCTTCAGTGGTGAGCCTTTGCTTCAGCTTTCCTTTGAGACCTTGCCTTAGCCTGCAGGTAAAAGTAAAAGTGATAGGTAAGCACATCGCTAAAACAAAGGCAGCATGTTATTGTCAAACATATCAGAAAAACAGGAAGCCAAGGTTCGTGAAACATGTTTTCAAGTCTTTACACATTGAGTTGATCTCATACCCTTTACTGATAGATGGGCTTGGATATGTAAAGCACAAATCAATACCTATCAATATATTTCCTAAAGTGAAATGTCCAAACTGGGATACAGCATCTTATGCTCCAAGGAAATGCATTGATATGTAAATCAAGTTATGAATACCATTTCTTTTAGAAGCATTAGATAATAGATTATGTACAATCGGAATATCATAATTTCAAACAGTGTGAGCAGGAAACCGGACTCCCACATCGTTAAAGATGAGTGTAGTCCCTAATTGTTCCCACAACAACAAAAACCAGAAGGGTATATCATCTAAACAACAATTTTAGATATCTTGATCAAAATGAAATACAAAATTGTCATTCTAATAATCTCGAAACATCAAACAAGTGAAAAAAAAGACTGTCATAACAATGACTCTTAGCAGCAGCTACCAACAACCTTTCTACCACATGAAGAAAACAGATCAAAATTAAAAATTCCCATCAAAATATAAATCCAATCGGTAACAGCGTGATAGTCAATCCCATATGTATAAAATAATTACAATCGCACAAACAGAAAAACGAAATTGAAGAAAAATTAAATAAATCGAAAATAAAAGCAGTAAATCAAAATACCTTGAGGTACTTGAGCTTAATGCTGCCATAAACGAGCCCAAAAGAGAAAGCAGATGCACGAGCCACCTATTACAGAAATAATTGCAATATGAATCAATTTTTTAAAAGAAAAGGTAATTACGTTTTTTTCCTGGGAAAGAAGGCAACTCGGATCTATTATATACGTTTGTGTGAATATATTTATTTATTTTTCATTTTTCTGCATTTGATCCCACCAAAAATAACAAAGAAAAAAAGAAGAAGAAATGGAGAAAATAAATTACAAGGGCGAGAGTGCTGGTGCCGGAGTAAGGTCCAGGTGGAGGCGCCATCGATTTGCTTTGTTTGAGAAATTGGGCGACGGAGTTTAGATCAGAAGAAACAGTCTTGCGCTTGCCCTAGATATTAGTTTCTCGCGAGTTGAGAGGGGCTTTAAGCGAGTGTGGGAACTTTCCCAAAACGACAACGTTCCAGGGCGTTCTTCTCGCCCAATATATTTTCTAAAGGGTGAACTACCCCCAAAGTCAGTAAACTATTGGATAAATACTATTTTGATCACTGAATTAAAAGTTTTATCAATTAAATCATTAAATTTTCAGTTTGATTTCAATCATGTCACCGAATGTTTAATTATTGACGGGATTGATGATGTGATAACTAAGCAAATTTTTATCTCATTATTTAAACATTATATCCCTTTGCTTAACGCTCACGTCAACAATTCCATTAACATATAATAGTTGGTAACTTGTTTGAAACTAAATAAAAAAATTTAGTGACTTAATTGATAAAATATTTAGTTTAATATTCAAATATAATCAAGCCAATAATTTAGTGACCTTCAGATAATTTACCTTTTTTAAAATATGATTATTGTCAGAATAAAATACACTATGTGTCACTAATTTTTTAGTAGATTTTAATTACTAATGTTAGTAATTGATTATAAATAAGTAATTGTCTTGTTAGATCCTATTAAATTAATGACGTGTCACCTTAAATCCTATTAAATTAATGACGTGCCACCTTAAAATAAAATGTTAATATTTATTGTGTTGATATATGACTCTTGATGACGTGTTGAGGAAAGTACGATTGTGCAAATATTGCTTTTATGATATTAAAATGTAAATGAATTCTTAAGAAAAAGTGTAAAAGAATATTTAATAATACGATTTCACTTATCATTTGGAGAATATTTTTTAATATTTTATTTATTAAGATTTATATTTATCAAATAATTATTAATTTGATATTTAAATTTAAATAAAATCAAATAATTTACACTTTAATATTTAATTTGTGAACACAATTTTATAAATTTATCAAACAATGTCGCAATCATTTTTAAAAGAACTGCGATTGCATTAGATTTAATCACATAAAATAAAATTAAAATTGGAATAAGCATTAGATTTAACCACATTAAATAAAAGATAAATTGGAATTTGGAAGTAGTTTTAGATCTATTTAAGCACTTGAAATATAAATAAAAATATTTAATGATTATGATTTCTTATTACACATAAATTCATTAAAAAATAATAACCATTATTTATAGTGAATTTAGAATCTGAACAAAAACTAATTAATTTAAGCAGATCAGTCAAAAACAAAGTTTTTGGAACTCGAGAAAATTGTGGGGGACAAAGCCACCTCCGAAGCCAAAAAGTCAAAACCCCAAGTTCAGAAGCCTAATTGAGAGGGGTACTACTTTTCTAAAGCCATATTTGCAGTAACTCGTTCACTTTCTCCCTCAAGGAAACTCCTAAAACTGAAGAGAAACCATCCATGGCAGCCATATCTAATATCTCTCCTTTGTCTTCTTCATCATCTCTCTCAAAACCCATCTCAAAAAACCATTCTTATTCCCTGAACACGCCTCAAAAGAGCGCCTTTTCTCTCCTCCCAAAAACCCTTCAAAAACCGTCTTCTTTGCCTTGCAACTATGTCTATCATACCCAGAAACCTCAGTTCACCATCTCCTCTAAAACCCCCATCTCTGACTTCTTTTCAACAAACAAAAATGAGGGCGGTTCTTCTTTTATTGATGACGACGACAACGATAAGCCCCGTGAGGAGTGTGGTGTTGTAGGTATCTTTGGTGATCCTGAAGCCTCACGTCTCTGCTATTTGGCCCTCCACGCGCTTCAGCACCGTGGGCAAGAAGGTGCAGGTATTGTAGCTGTGAATGACAATGTTCTTCAATCGATTACTGGTGTTGGTTTAGTGTCTGAGGTGTTTAATGAATCTAAACTTGATCGATTGCCTGGTGAAATGGCTATTGGACATGTCAGATATTCAACTGCTGGTTCTTCTATGTTGAAAAATGTGCAGCCTTTTGTTGCTGGGTACAGGTTTGGGTCTATTGGGGTTGCTCACAATGGAAACTTGGTGAACTACGGTGCTTTGAGAGCTATGCTTGAAGATAATGGTTCCATTTTCAATACTAGTTCTGATACTGAGGTTGTACTTCATTTGATTGCTATTTCAAAGGCCAGGCCTTTCTTTTTGAGGATTGTTGAAGCTTGTGAGAAGCTTGAAGGGGCTTATTCAATGGTGTTTGTGACTGAGGATAAGCTTGTTGCGGTGCGCGATCCCCACGGATTTAGGCCTTTGGTAATGGGAAGGAGGAGCAATGGTGCTGTTGTTTTTGCCTCTGAGACATGTGCTCTTGATTTGATTGAAGCAACATATGAGAGAGAGGTGTATCCTGCTGAAGTGTTGGTGGTGGATAAAAAGGATGGGGTTCAATCAGTTTTCTTGATGCCTCGCCCTGAACCAAAACAATGCATTTTTGAGCATATCTATTTTGCTTTGCCTAATTCTGTTGTTTTCGGAAGGTCTGTTTATGAATCGAGGCATGTTTTCGGTGAAATACTTGCTAGCGAGGCTCCAGTTGACTGTGATGTCGTGATTGCAGTGCCGGATTCAGGGGTTGTGTCTGCTCTTGGTTATGCAGCCAAAGCTGGGGTGCCATTTCAGCAAGGCCTGATCAGGTCTCACTATGTTGGAAGAACTTTTATTGAGCCTTCACAGAAGATCAGGGACTTTGGAGTGAAGCTAAAGCTTTCACCGGTCCGTGGTGTATTGGAAGGTAAGAGGGTTGTGGTGGTGGATGACTCAATTGTCAGAGGAACCACATCTTCAAAAATCGTTAGGTTGATTAAGGAGGCAGGAGCTAAGGAGGTTCACATGAGAATCGCAAGCCCACCGATCATCGCTTCTTGTTATTACGGAGTGGACACACCAAGCTCCCAGGAGTTGATATCGAATAGAATGAGTGTGGAGGAGATCAGACAGTTTATAGGGTGTGATTCACTGGCTTTTCTGCCATTTGATAGCCTGAAGAAGATGTTGAGTAGTGATTCTCCAAAGTTTTGTTATGCTTGCTTCTCTGGGAAGTACCCAGTGATGCCAAGAGAGGTTAAAGTGAAACGAGTTGGTGATTTCTTGGATGATGGGTTGAATGGACCTTTTGATTCCATTGATGGAGGCTGGATTCAAGGCCCTCGGAATTTGAACACCGAGAAAGAAATCGATCCACTGCTTCAGGCATGAGTGTGGCGAGTGAAATAGATATCAGTCTTTCTATTTTCTTCCTTGAACAAAAGCTAGCTGGGCTTCGAAATTCTAAAGCTTATACAATTTTGCCCCAATGTTTTGCTCTGCAAACTAATCTCTAATGAATGTGTTTGTTGTTTTCTTTGATAATAGACAATGGTGCTGTTGCTTCATAATTTATGTCCCTTGGTTTCTTTTCTATGACTAATCTCAATGAAAAGAACCCAGCTGCAAGGTTTCCAAATTTTGCATTGTCAAAGATTTGGTGGGGCTGGATCAAGACTGTTCCAAGGTTTCTGCTATAGTCATATAGTACTTGCTCATCTCAGTGTTTTGGTTATTTATTCTCATCAATACGACATATTTCAGAATAATAAAGCTTGTGATTCTGAAACTAAAGTTTTCAATCAATAATTGCATGAAAGAAAAGTTTTCAATCAAAAATTGCATGAAAGAAGAAGGCTTCCCGTAGCCATAATTCGACCATTCAAAATAACTGTAGTCTATAGTATCTTGTCTTAATTACATTATATGGACAACTTGTGGTAGTCATCAAACAGTACCAAATTTGGAGCCAGATGAATATTCTTGGATAATAGAAGCTAACTAAGAAGCAGGAACAAGTATGAGGTGCTCGTTTGTGCTACTTAAACTACCAACTTCACTACAAAATTTAAGAATTGCAAAATCACCTTTATTCAGTTCTGTAATTAAATTTAATTCAGGAATGAAAAACATAATCTGCGTTCAAACCAGCAGGCTTAAATTCATAAAAGTGCAGTAATATTAAATTAATGGCACACTAATTAGCCATTTTCCGCACGATCATAAGCATTGGATTTGTGCTTTGGTGCAAATGTGAAACCATCTGGAACCTTGCCAAGCAGCATTTCAGATATTTGGATCTGGACAAGTGGAGAAGAAACTAATAAGAACACGATTATCATTATTACCGTGAGATGTATAGTAAGAAGCAACTTCGTACCCAGTCAGCTGCAGAATCGGACGCCATTAGGGTCTCAAGGTCATCACGCCCATAGTATGAGGGAGGACGCCAATTCAGCCGTTGGGGAATGACATCTAAAAGACCAACAGGTATATACCTGCATGTGTAGCTAAGCCATTCCAACAAGAAATGCCTAGTTGTTTCCACACCTGCAAAGTCAGTTAAACACCGGAGACTTCAAAACATAATAGTTGTTCAATATAAAGGTATATATGTTCACATAATTAATAAATATTAATAAATAATTCTAGGAAACTGATAAACAAGACATTTTGGAATTTCCAAGCTTAATCCAAAGAAAATCACATAATTATGCACCAGTTTCTTCTGAAAGGGACAATCTAATACAACAAAAGGTGCTAAAAATTTTGGGTAACAAAATCAATGTTGATCCAAGAGCAAAAGACCAACATAAATTTTCTCAGAATGGTTTCACAACTTGAATCAGGAAGCTAAAACTTGAATGGGGCAGTTTGATACTTGTTAAAGATATGGCAACAAGTACAATCAACAATTTAGGCTAGGGAAGAAAGAAAAATGTTTCTGTTTTATATCAACTCAATCACAGCATATTGATCAATGTTTCTCATACCATAATGCCAGCACAAACTTATCATTAACTATTCACTAAGCTAACATATGAGAATTCAAACTAAATTATATGTATTTCACTCTGAATATTGTATTACTGCATACCCTTTTTGTCAGATCCCCAATGCTCTAGGCCAAAACGTACATAGTCCTTAAAAATATTCAACCGCTCCTGTGAACTGATATCCCAATGCCTCTGTTCCTTGATTTCAGTAAATAACCAAGGCTACAAAGCACCTAAGATGTTATAATAGGCTGAAATTCCATACAGCGCAGTTCGGCAGTATGATAAATAATGGAAAATTTTCAGATAAAATGTCAGATAATGAACATGTAAAATCTAAATACTTACCTTAATCAATGCCCCTCGAGCAATCATACATGAAGAGAGCTCAAGGCAGTCAGATATATGCTTGTTCCAATCTAAATATGAGAAAACATCCCCATTCCCTAAAACTTGCAGTGCACTAGGGGCCTTCCGAGCACACTGGTATACATAATCCCAATCAGCAAGTTTACTGTAGCGTTGCTGACGTGATCGACCATGTATTGTCACTGCAGTAGCACCCCAACTGCCAATATCTGCAATCAACGAATCAATGCGGTTTTTACCTTCAAAGTAACCTGTTCTCACCTGCCATAACAAAAGGTACAATTACATTTCTTAAAACAGCTTGATGATTGTAACAAGTGCTTGTAAAGGAAAGGGAAAAAGGAGCAACCTTGACAACAATTTTTTTTGGGGGGGGGGGGGGAAGATAAAACAACATAGGCATGCTTATAATTTAACTAATAACCTAAATGGAAAGCACCTTAACAGTTATAGGTCTATCAGCAGTGCTGGAAGCTGCTTGAATTATTCCTTTCATACGTGCTGGTCTTGTTAGAAGAGAAGATCCAGCCCCCTTATCGACAACAATATCAATTGGGCACCCCATGTTAATGTCAATGAAGTCCACTGTACACTCCTTTTCTATAAGTTCAACAGTACGTGCTATAGTGTCAGGATATGCCCCACATATCTGAACTCCAAACAAATCCTCAGATGAATGTCGCCTCAGCAGAGCCCATTCTGAAGCTTGACCCTGTTCAAACAGGATAAGCGCCACAGAGAAACTCACATATCAACATAGAATGCATTTTACAACAAAAGGAAAGAAAAGGCCACTAGAAGAACCACCAAAAACAAAGTTCAACTATTTTTTTTTTATAGGAAAGAAGTTCAACTATAAAATGTCAAAAGCTAGTCAATGCAAAGACATCACTCCTTTCTTACTTGTGATGCCTTGCTGCAAAAGGAAATTACACCAATTTGTTCCATTGGGTGTAATTAACCTGGAAATCACAGCCTGTTATTCCAATTTCCAACACTTATGGAATGATAAAACTAGCAGTTTGCCCCGATGCAACTAGGAATATGTGATATACATACCTGCAAAAGATTGGTGCACATTGCCATTTCACCGCATGTCACATCTGCACCTAATGTTTTGCATACCCTACGAAAAGGAAGATTCCCAACAGTTGTTAGAGGAGCAAGATACAGCTTTTCTCTAAAATCAATGAGCATCTTTTCACGAGGGTGTATCTTGAGGCTCCTATCAGGTTCTGCAACTACATCATCGGTCATTTCAGCAAAATCTTTTTCACTATCCTTCTCCAAAACAGTTGCATCTGTCAAATTACATAACCTAGTTATGTAAACAGTTGCATCTGCATTAATCAGTTCAAAAAATAGCAAATAATAAAAATCAACAAGAAGACTACCACCCTCCACTTCATCAGAGCATTTTTCGTCAGCCACACATTTTGCCTTCTTTGAGGGTCTAAACTCATCAGTTGCACATGCATCCTCTGCATTTACTGCTGCTGACAATTTCGAAGGACATTCAGAACAGTCCATTGAATCATCAGCCACTTTTTTGCATTCAAGTTCATCAGCAGCATGAGAACCGCTTAAACCAACTTCATCTTCCTCCTTATCTACTAGCTGCTTCTTTTTCCAGTTGGGCCCCTGAAATATTGTATTGATACTAGGTTAACAACAATAACTCATAATAATGTTACTTCATGATGGTATTAACAAAACTGGGAGAAATAAGGACCAATAAAAGAATTCAGTGGGTTCATCATACCATTAGTCCAAGAGATTTGAGTACACCATCTGCTTTAGTAAAGCGCATTTTGTTCTTCCACAAAAGCTTCTGAACATCTTTGCTTAGTCCATTGACTTCAGAGCATTTCTTCAACAAATTAGAAGTAGCTGCAGAAGCACCATCCTTATGGGTGCCGACAAATCTACAGGCTAAGCCATAAGGGCATGGTGCATCGGCTTTTATAAATGGGCAGTCACCCTCCAAATCAGCTGGTTTCTACATTCAACCAAAAACAAAATACTTATTAGAAGTCCAATTAGATAAATTCGATCACATTGTAAATTTCATGAAATGGGTATTAAAATACCTGAGCCAAAAAGGCTTCTATGTCATGGCTGAAACGACATTTATCTTTATAAGAACAAGCATTAACATCTCCCGTCTTAGCTATCTCTGGACATAGATTCGAAGCAGATTTTTGCTCCTGAAGGAGAAAAAAAATAGCAATTACTTTACATTCCACCACCCAAAAAAACTGCTTTCTGGTAAGAAAATAAATTAGGTTGAACATGTTGGTACCTGACGACGCTCTCGTTTGATTTGCCGTTTCGATTTCTTCTCCTTGACTAAATTAGCCTGGGGTTGCTTGGCGTTGGCATTGGCGTCGGAGGCGGCATCGTTTTGGGTGGTTCTAGAGGGTGGTGGAGGTCGAAGAAACTCTGGCTTTATAGGTGCAATGGCTCGGGCCACCAACTCTTTCGGTGTTCGTTGAGTAGTTCCATTCGAGTTCGGAGGCGGCTGTGAAGCTAGGACCCCTTCCTTCTTCAAATCTGTCAATACAGACAGATCTTTCGAAGAGTCTTCCATGGAAGGCGAGTTCACTCGGTGAGCGCAGTCAGTTCGCTGTTGTCTCTAGCAGTTAGTGAAGTTGTGTTCCAAGTAACACGGAGTGGGTACTGGTTTAGGGTTTTGGGATTTTTGTTTAAAGAAATTAGAGTGTATTTAGTTGGTTAAGAATGTCAGTTTCAGTAATTTTATATTATTAATAGTAGTAGATTTTTTTGGTTATATTATCAGGAATGTCATTATCTCTCTTTTCTTATGTATTGTTGGATTACTGATGTTTTAGACTAAAATACTCTTAATTGTTTTTTTTAAAAAAATATCCTTATTTTGTCATTGAATAATAAAAATTCTATGAATGTTAAATTACAAATTTATCATTAAACTATTTTAGATTTACAAAAAATCTATAATTAAAATTTTATATGAAGTTAAGGGGTTAAAATAAAATTTTACTCTTTTATTAAACCTTTTTATATTTTTAATTTTATAAAAAAATATGAATTTTATGAATTTAAATTTTTAAAAAATATATATAAATATTTTCTAACTTATTAATATATATATATATATATATATATATATATATAATAAAGATAATTTGGTCAAATATACATTTCAATGATTTGTTATTTCTTTAACCAAACACGATAATCTTACATTCCTACTAAACCTGTCAAACACAAAATATAACATTCTCAGTATTAGATTATACAAGACTTGAATATTGAGATATTATTGATTTTCTATCACATATGTACAACATACTTATATACAGCAGGAGAATTCAAGAAAACAACTCTAATAGGAGTAGTTAAGCCTAACAAACCACAACCGTTCCATAACATAATTACAGCTCATCAATTAACCAGCTCAGCATTAATTGACTTTCTAGAAGTCGCAAGCTTAATATGCAGTATGCCTCTTCCTCTAATATTCTTCCTGCTTATTTCCTTCCTTCTGTTGATTAACTTTGCTGCACACACATTTTGGCTCTGAATTCTTCAAATGTAGCCTTAGACAAAGGTTTTGTGAACCCATCAGCTGCCTGATGCATGGCAGGAACATAGTTGACACAAAGTTGGCCAGCTGTCACCTTCTCTCGAACAAAATGTATGTCAAGCTCCACATGCTTCGACTGAGCATGGTATACCGGATTAGCACTCATGGCAACTGTGCTTGGTTATCACACCAGACGATGGGCGTGCATTTTTGCTTAACACCAAGATCATCCAACAGAGCAGTGAGCCACGTGACATCTACAGTGGCGTCTGCAACGCTCTTGTATTCGGCTTCCATAGTGGATCGAGAGACTGTTTTTTGTTTCTTCGACGACCATGTAATCAAGCACGGCCCTAAGAACACTCCAAATCCCGAAATAGACCGTCGATCATCAATATTGGAGCCCCAATTCGCATCAACGAAAGCAACCACATCTAAACTTACAGCACAGGAAGGAGAAAAAACCAAACCAAAATCCAAGGTAGCAGCCAGGTATCTCAGTATACGCTTAACTGCTGTAAGGTGCAAATCTCTAGGGGAGTTCATGAATTGAGCAACTTGCACAACGCTGAAGGAGATGTCAGGCCTTGTATGACAAACGTATAGAAGAGAGCCAACAATGCTGCGATATTCAGTTGTATTGGTGATCAATACCCCCTCATCACGTGAGAGTTTGGAGGAAATAACCATAGGTGTACTGCAGTCAGCAGCATTTACCATACCAGTTTTCTCTAAGAGCTCATTAACAAATTTCTTTTGACTCAAGACAACATTCTGACCAGATCGTTTGACTTCAATTCCCAAGAAGTATCGTAACTCCCCTAGATCTTTCAGTGAAAATCTGTCCTTGAGTATAGCCACAACTTCTTCCACATCAGTCAACGAACTTCCTGTAATAACAATGTCATCGACGTATACGAGTACGTATATGAAACCTTGAGGTGAACGTTTGTGAAATAAAGAGGGGTCAGCACGAGACACCATAAAATCCATTTGTACCAGATTTTGTTTTAATTTATCGTGCCAATTCCTGGGTGCTTGTTGCAACCCGTATAATGCCTTTTGAAGTTTGCAAACAAACGGCTTACCATGTTCATTTACTTTCTCGAAACCGGGGGGTTGCTGCATGTACACTTCTTCGAGCAAATCCCCATTAAGAAAGGCATTATTAATGTCTACATGCCTTAGAGTCCAGCCATTGTTGACTGCAACTGCAAGGATTGCATTAAAGGTCGAGAACCGAATGACAGGGCTGAACGTTTCTTTGAAATCACAGCCAGGTATTTGCGAGAACCCCTTGGCTACTAAACGTGCCTTATAACGCTGCACCGAGCCATCTGGATTGTGCTTTACTTTGAACAGCCATTTGCACCCAACAATTCTTCGATCATCTGGCAAGGTAGTTAAAATCCAAGTATTATTTCTTAACAGAGCATCATACTCATCACAAGCTGCTTGTTTCCAGTGTTCCATCTGAAAAGCCTCGTGTATTGAGTTGGGGACATAATCATCGTAAGTCGCAGCATATGCCTTTGGTTTGAACACACCACATCGGCTGCGAGTCATCATATGGTGAATTCGTTGAGGTGCACATGGCTCATCATTAGAAGCAGGAGCAGTTTATTCAGGTGCTAAGTCTAGCTCAGCATTGATCACATCGTCCTGGTTAGAGAGCGGATCATAATCATCATTAGTAGGCTGAGTAGAGAAAGAATTCTCATGTTGATGCGCGGCAGGAGAACCTGCACTGCTAGAGGACTCCAAGGGCGAAGACTCCAAGGGCATCGAAACTTCATTACCATTGCCTGCATTATTAGAAATTTCAACATCATTCCTTGCATCATTTGATATTGATTGGGAGACTTAATGATGTGTGTCCTGGAACAAAGGCTGTCTGGAATCTACCACTATACTTAGCGATGGTGACAACGTGGAAGGTGTATTCAAGATATGTGCATCAGTATTAGTATCAGCACCTGAAAAAGGAAACACAAATTCGTTAAAAACTACATGACGAGAAGTGTACACTCGATCATCTGGGGCCACACATAGATAGCCTTTATGTTGTGGGCTGACAGCAAGATACACACATACTCTTGACCGAAAAGCAAGTTTGTGATTCAGAAATGGTCTCAAGTTAGGGAAACATTGACAGCCAAATACTCTCATCATCCTATAGTCATGTTTTTTATGCATGAGCTTTTCAAAAGGTGACATCTCTTGAAGAACCTTAGTAGGTAACATGTTAATCAAATGAACTGCAGATACAACTGCATAAGACCAATACTTGATTGGCATGGCATATTGAGCAAGTAAAACGAGTGCAAGCTCCACAATGTGACGGTGCTTTCGTTCGACTACACCATTTTGCTCGGAGGTGTGTGGACAACTCAACCGATGGACAATGCCTTGCTTGGCCAAGAGAGGAGACAAGCTGCGAAACTCGCCCCCCCCAATTACTCTGAACTGCCATGATCGAGTAACCAAACTGCCTATCAACAAGCTTTTAAAACAAATTAAATGCTACAACAGCCTCATCTTTGCTTTTCAGGAGATAGAGCCAAGTATGTCTAGTGAATGCATCAACAAACGAGACATAGTATCGAAAACCATTAGATGCCATATGTGGAGGTCCCCACAGATCTGTGAATACAAGTTCAAATGGAGTAGAAAAAACAGTATTTGATTCATTAAACGGAAACTTGTGGCTCTTGCCCATATAGCAAGCAGTACATGCTTTGTTTACATCAAATTTTAATTTGAAACCAAGGTCATTAGACAAACTAGCTAATATAGGAGCTGCCGGATGTCCAAGACGCATGTGCCACAACTCATCGACGGAATCTTTAACATATGTAGCATGCACCTCAGCCATACAAGCAGCAGGAGCATCATTATTAATCGCAAACGAGTAAAGTCCACCACTCTCTTCACCTTGAAGCAGCAAACAACCAGTCTTCTCATCACAGATACAACACTGATTGGCATGAAATTCAAGGTAAACATCATTGTCCTTAGCAAGCTTCGAGACCGAAAGAAGGTTCTTAGTGATTTGAGGTACATGCAATAAATCATTAAGCAAAAGGACTCTAGATGCTGAAGAAACTGAAGATCTACCAACCAGATTAACATTAAGAGGCATACCATTACCAACAATTAATTTACCTGGACCACTAAATTCAGAAGGTTCCAGGATATTTGAAGCTTCTGTGGTAACATGATATGTTGCCCCAGAATCGACCACCCACCTATCCGAGCCATGAGCAAAATTAATCACATTAGCTTGAGCCACCCCAGAGGAATTAGGACGTCTTTTGCCACAACAATTACACGTGTTGGTAGACGATGAAGATGAATCACCACTGTAAACGATCCGATTCTCAGATGTAACACAAGAAAAATCCTTGTCGAATCTGTGCCAGCATCGATCTACAAGATGGCCGACCTTGCCACACAATTGACACTGAAAACGTGATTTGCCTCGACCTCTACCAGCACCGCGAGAGTTTGTGGAATAACTGGATCGCGAATCCGCACGATTATTAGGGAAGGAAGCACCACGCTCTTCACCCTGAGCAATATGCGCGCTCATTGGTATGACTTCGATTTGCTCATCAAACCCAACTAGCTGTATTTCAGCATCAAGAAGCATGGTATAAACGCTATCAATATTGAAAGTATCTTTCATGGTAGTAATAACAGCTATAAAGGACTGATACTCGCGTGGGAGCCCTTTTAGTATACTGGCAATGCGTTCAACAAGAGGAACCGGGCTGCCACACGACTCCAAGGCATCGTAGACTTCTTTAACTCGTGTGAGATAGACTCTCATAGTATCACCACCTTTCTTCAAGGACTGCAACTTATAATGAAGGCTCATGACCGCAGTGGTTGATCGTGCAGAAAAGAATTGCAACACAGTGTTCCAAACAGCTGAGGCAGATTCAATACCAACAAATTGAGGAAGAAGAGGGGCACTAATGGTGGAAATAAGTCATGAGGCGAGGGCACTGTCTTGTGCAACAAATTCTTCATATTCTTCATTGATCTGAGCAACACCGTTATCATCAACAATTGTTTCTGGTGGTGTGGAAACTGCACCAGTGAGCAGTCATTCCAGCATATGGCTACGAACAGT